TTAGACGACATAGACCCTTCTTTCGTTCAAGTAAACACGCACCCACTGAAAGGACAGTTCCTTTCAACACGTTTCACAAACAACCGCTGGCGCTGTTTGTTCTTAGCTTTCCTAACCACTAAACCATATCATGTGTTTGGAATGTGTAAATTATAGTCAGCGTTGATACCACTGTGAGTCACGAGTTTATTTTTAGACTTCCTGGCATAGGAGGTGCAGTTGCATGCGTACATTCAGCGACTGCGTTCTCTCCATAACAGGGGAGTCCAAACTGCATAATTCTAGCGTGATCCTTTCAATTCTTATGCCATTTCGAAACTTAGCTTACAGCTTAACGTACACAGTACGTGAAACCACAGACAGGGGCATTTAAATACCACGGTACGACAAACGTCAAACCACCGTAAAGGGTTAATATTACTACATCTACATCACGTGCCTCCAAAACAGTTTATTATATACACAAAACATAGAATACTCCAATTTGTCCGTGGGAACACAACAAAATCACCAAAACCAATGACTGACTCGATAATATAAAGCATCACTTGAAGAATTTTATTCCTCTTTTATACTATACCTTTTGTTTTATATAGTCTAATTTATTGTATTTTTATGCCAATTATTTTAATATAATTAATATTACTGTATCCAGTTTTACTAGTACTGCAGTTCAGTGGTGTATATATGTTAGCCATGTATTTGCCTGATGATGGCTCTTAATGTCCAAAACATGCAGCAGAGCCAACCTTGGCACTGACCTTAGTATAGTTGTGTTGTGACAGTTTTAATAAAGAAATAGTAAATGAAAGTGTGACAATGTGGCAACAGCCATGTCATTGTCAACACATGATCAAAGGTGCATTACTAAGACTGAGAATAAACACTGAGCGATCCATCCACTCACCCATTCATACATACCTCACATACATACATACAAACATACCCAAAAATTTCACTGCCTTCTAGATGCATTTAAAGAAGAAAACAGCAATTACCTGAATCACACCAGATGATGTGGTTTGCATTATCATTTCTGTGTCTTGCAATGTGTGTGCAGAGCAAATGTATTATGACAAGAATTGAGGGCCCAATGTTCAATGCAGAGGATGAAGAAATGTTATGTGGCTGGGAAATATGTCATTTTCTATCAAGTCACTGAAAACCACAGTTAAATAGGCAGCATTCCTCCTCCATTTCAGGAGGTACCAGGTTCAGATTTTAGCCCAGAGATGGTTATCTTGACTGAGGTCTTTTGAAGTTTTTCTCAGCCTCTACAAGCAAATGCTGGGATAGTATATGAAATTTAACACTTTCTTCTTCATCCTTCCCAATTCATCATTCACTAATCACCTTACTATTCAACACTATGTAGCCTAAGCTACTAATAACTAACTTCATGGAGCTGAGCCCTTCTAGAGATGCCGCCAGTTGTGCAGTTATTCAAGAACTTCCCAGCATTTTATGAAACCTGAAGGTTCATTGCCGCGTTCACAAGAACCCTCCACTGGTCTTGTATGCCAGATCAATCCAGTCCATAAGACCCCATCCCCTCTCTCTAAGATTAATTTTAATATTATCCAACCACCTACATCTTGGTCTTCCTAGTGGTATCTTTTCTTCTGGCTTTCCCACCAATATCCTATATGCACTCCTCTTTGCCCCCATTTGTGCTACATGTCCTGCCCATCTCATCTCCACAAATAAATAAGCACTAATAATATGTATTACATAAGGAAGTGGGCCAAGCAAGAAGCAAGCCCTGCTTGCTGCTGGGTTCTTGCTTAGCTTGCACTTCAACCCTGAAGATGGGGGTGATATAGTCCTCAAAAACCTCAGTTGACTTTCACCAGACTATACAGAAGGCAGAACTCTTTGCTCCAACTGAAGTTTCTCATAGTTTTCTTCAGTCCCTCCATAAAAATATAAGGATAGTTACTTAAGGCTGGGGCCACACGAGTACACAAAATGCATTCATTTTAATGAACGTCATGACGTCCATTGTAGAAATAAACAAGAGAGGCGAATGCTAAGCTTTCTTCTGGCTCCATTGCAGACAAAAAACTATGCACCACATTCTGCAGCTGTGTGGTGTACTCAGCAACGTCTGTCATAAAGAACATTTGTTGCAACAGACGTACTTCGTGCACTTGTGTGGCCCCAGCCCAAGCCATGATAACTTTCACATAATTTCCTATTCATTATTCATCATCATCCCATCTTTCAGTGCTGTATAGTCTAAGCTGCTGACAGATCTGTTAAAAAATCACAAATAAATGTGCCATAATTACAACCCATGCATTTTCTATTTAAATACATATACCAAACTTACTTCAGCACACTGAGCAAGTTCCACTGATGTCATATTCCATGCATCCTCAGGACAGATGCCTCCTCGGATCCTCTTATCCATGTTCTCAGCACACATTTTGATTTTTCTGCAAGGAAAATCCAAGGAATGAGAATTACCATACCATGTCTGTGAAACCTGGTAGTGCTTTTATCCTTGCCCTATTGGACCCTGACTGCACAATTGTGTGGGCCCTGGACAGAAAGAACAAGGAACAGAAGAAGTGGAGGAAGAGGAAAAGAAAGGACAATGGAAATGGCAGAGATGAGCAAAAGATAAAAGAAGAGAAAGGGCCAATAAGAAAAGGAGGCAGAGAACGAAAGCAATAATGAAAGGGAAGAAAGGGCTTCTACCTAATGCCTTGCATCTGAAGAGGTTAAATTGTTTTCTTCCCCATGTCACTGTTCTACAGGGAATATCTTTATTAACTAGACACATTCACAGCTTTGCACCTCACCATTACCGGTGCATCGCTGGCCATGAAGCGCACACAATTTATGCTGATGACTCAGCATGCTTGACGGCTGATAATATTTTGAATGAAGGAAAATAATTAACTTGTAGACCCCTACACAGCAGACAGTGCTGTTCATTTTTGGTAGTGTGTTCATGATTTGTGAGCAGTAGGGAAGAGTTATCAGCACCATGAGCAATTTCTTCCCAGTTAACAGTTAGTCAGCAGTGTGGCACAACATGGTTCACTATACTTTAGAGTAATGCGTACCTCTGTATGACACATACATGAAATACAGATCTGCTGGAAAGTGTCAGCAACAATTTTGATGTCAATTTTGTGACGAAAGAGTTCCCAGCAGACAAACATAATTTGGTGAATAAACTTAAAACAACAGGACTCTTAATAGACAAGGAAACAAAACATAAGCCTCAAATGCTTACTGAGAAGTTAGATGACATCGGGGCCAGTCTTGAACATATACCTTGAAAATTACTGAAACATCTAGCTCTAGAGACTGGAGTGTCAAAGTCTAGTGCAAGAACAGCAACACAGTTTCTGAAGCATAGACACTATAAAACAACAATCCACACCTTGCAGCCATGCGATTCAGCTATCAGGGTTTCTTTTGCAGTTGGTTTCTACAGGCTGTTGTTGAAGGTGAGATCGATCCATAACTGACATTCTTTTCTGATGAAGCATTGTTTCACTTGCAGGGATATATAAATAAGCAAAAAATCGTTACTGGAGTTCACAGAATCCACATTTAACTCACGAAGCCCTGCTCCATCCAGTGAAAGTTGGTGGCTGGTGTGCTTTAATTGCAAGAAGGATTGTTGGACCTGTGTTTATTAACAAAACAATTAATTGTGAAAGATATGTACAGGTTATTCTTGGGCAGTTCTTTTCAGAGTAGACAGAAAAAGAAAGACTAAGGCTGCTTTCAGTAAGACTCAGCTACTGCCCACACTGCACATATGTCTATGCAGGCTTTGTCTGATGTCTTCAGGGACAGAATTATCAGCAGTGGTATTTGGCCAACATGTTCACCTGATCTTAATGCTTGTGATTTTTTCTTCTCGGGTTGTTTGAAGGACAGTGTTTACAGCAATAACCCTGCAACGGAAGAACTGAAAGAAAAAATTTGTAGGGAAATTTCAAATATTCCTGCAAAGCATTTTCAGAAGGTAATTCATAACCTCTTCCACTGGTGCAAGGATTGTCTATGTGTAGAAGGACAGCATTTTCAACACATCCCATGATCTGTGAATGAAGGTAAGATCTCCCCTTCATTCCAAGTCTTATCAGCATGCCGAGTCATCGGTAAAATTCATTTGTGCTTCGCAGCCAGCGGTGCACTAGTTGTGGTGAAGCACAAAACCGTGAACACGTCAAGTTCATTAAAAACACCCTGTATAGGTATATTAGGAATGTACTTTCCACAAAATGATTGGCTCACAGACAACAGTTACAGTTAGTTCCTGTCTAATGACATATTTTCTCAATTGTAAATCCCAACAAGCAATTGAAAATGTCACTACACTCAAACTCTGTATGTTTCATCTTCTGAAAAATTTGGAAAGGAACATCAAGTTGAAATTTTCATTGAATATATCCAAATTATTTTTCTTAACACATTAATAATACTGTTTAGAACACAACAATCTTTTGAGACAGTTTTACATTCAAAAGAATTTATGAGTAGAAAGCAAAGAGCCAGGTTTACTGGTTTCAAGAAATGTATTCTGAAAATATCAACCAGAAGACCTAAGATAAATGTAATTGCCATCCTTCATCAAGTACTCAACAAAAGACTTCCTATAAAGAGGATTACGTTGTCCTTGTGCTTAACTAATTAAGCACTATGCCACGAAGGCTTATGGGGGAGTCTGTGTATAGATCCACATTTTCTTGACTTCAGCACTAGCTGGAGGTGTGGTCAGCTTCATGCCCCGGCCACTTCAACCACAGTACCCACCAGATAGGAGGTTGGGTGGACCCCAGAGCAGGTCTGGACAACGTGGAGAAGAGAAAATTCTTGACCCTACCATGACTCAAACTCCAACCCCTTGGTCATCCAATGTTGCATTATTTATTACAGACAAATAATTAACACACAACAAAACAAACTCACTAGTACTCAACTGGAAACTGCAAACATGGTTATAAAAGATTTATAAAGCAATTGAAGAAAAGGGAATTTGAATAACTGACAGTGATAACTATGAAAGTAGGAAACTTTCAACAAGAACCTTACCCTGCTGCTACTTGTTGATAAGCCCTAATGATACAAGCTGTTGTATTCTCCCAGGACCATGGACCATTATTTCCCGAGACTGCCTGCTTGAGGTATGCCACAGTGGGGGTCATAGTCATGCCTCCTACAGCCTGTTGCCATGCCTTCATGAGATATCGGGCAGTTTGAAGCAGCAGCACTGTGTTCTCTCCCTCATAGGTGGATGCTGCTGTGACAAGTCCATATATAGAGGGCATACTGCTGCAGGTCATATAGCCATGACCTCCACAGGAAAGACGACATGTCTCCACACCCTGGGCAGCATCTGCTGTGCAAACTGCCTTCATGCAGCAGGAAAGTGCATGGAGCTGTTAACAATGTAAATGAAAGATTTGAAGTTTTCGCTCCAAACAAATGTACTAAAATATTCTCAGGCCATCACATATATCATAGTTGAATTAAAAACCAATGACTCAGAGACTAGCTCTTGACACATCATCAGGGTTGATGTGGAGAGTCACTATAGTGTCACTGTTCGTCAATGTGATGAACACTCTAGCTCGAAAAATAGGGGCCTTTAAGATATGCCCCAACAAACAAAATGGTAATTTTCTTTAAAAAAAAAAAGAGCTATGAATTTCAGTAATTTATGGAGATCAGTGTCCTAAATAAAACTTTATATGTGGTTACTTCAGGAAAATAACAGTATGTGCACCAGGGGCCAAACTGACTATGCAATACATACATGTTCTAGCTTGTATAATCAGTGACCAACAATGGGCTAGAAAACAGCAATCAATGTAATTTTCTTGGTAACACAGCCAAGGTCAATCATATATGAGAATGTACATGCAGTGCCTTCGCATCAATTTTTTAAACCTGGTATGAGACCTGAGAGCCCATAGCTTCATTCAGTGCAGATTTTGTGCTCTGCTCTCACACTGTGAAAATCAGAACTTTGTAACTCCCACACTTCCAGTGGCAACAAGACAACTGGTGCTGCAAGATATGTTTTCCCATATGGATTTACCTAGGATGCTGGAAGAGGATAAGTCTTTTATAGGTGATGGCAGTACCTAAGAGGATAGTTAGCTTATAAGGGATAAAGACTGAAGTTAGCCACATAATTCATTTTCATCCCGACACCAAACTCTTTCCTTTAAAGGAGGTAACCATAGGGGGTTCACACCCATAAACACATGCATTCCTGCAGCCTCAGAATAGCACTGCAGAGACAGATGGAAGTACAAGTGCTCTTTCCCAGGCTGCATCACTAGCAGCACAGAATAACCTCTGTAAACTACCATGTGACTGCTTGCATAAAATCTCTAGGCAATGGACAAAAATGGGGGGACTCAATTTTGAGACATGGTTCGAGGTCAGATGTGCTTCTGAAGCATTAGAAAGGGAGTGGATATTGAAACATATCACTCCAGAATTAGTGGATTTGTGTCAGAAAGTGAAGGCGAGAATGCCATACATGAAGGGAAACGGAACCTAACCAGCTATAATTTTGTGTATGGGATTAGTGAAGGTAGTGATTGCTGGATTTGAGATTAAGCCAACCTGCAAGTTGAAGAGGTGAAGATCAGCCAGATTTTGGCTTATGTTAAAAATCAGGAGAAAGATATCAAGGCATTAAAATAGACATCAGACACACATAATAGGAAATCTCTAAAATGAGGAAAAAAATTGATGCCCTTGGGACCTAATCTGACTTGCTGAGTGAGATGATTAATGATTATGGCTCAATTAAGCAAACAGTTGGCGAATGTGACATGCGTAGGGACCGGATTTTAATGAAAATGCTTATTTGTTTCTTACAACCAAAACATATGGTCATTTTGATACATGTCTTAATTACTTCATTTCTTGAATTTTTGACATGGTTTGATGGTGCAGTGATGCTATCAGCCTTATGCACCAGCCGCCCTTTACCACCAGGAAGAATCCTGGTACTCAGTTCTGTTAGAGGCTCAGTCAACCCAAGACCAACTGTGCAGCTGGAAGGATTAGGTCAACTGAAAAATCCAATGATCTCATCAGGAATCAAACCCACGGCCTAGTTAAAAAACATTGGGAAGTATTTATACAAAATTAGATGCCAATTGAAGAACAAAGTTAGAAGGGTACAAACCCCACTAAGGGAATAGAAACATAAATTATGAAATGAACTGACAGAAAAGACAAGAGAGAAAAAATAGAACTGTGATGGTATTAGCAGTAGCAGTAGCAGTAGCAGCAGTAGCTAAATTGAGATGAATTAATGAAAGTAATTATGTACGTTAAGAATCTGTGTACTACAAAAACTTGGTGTTATCTGGAAACAGATTTATATATTATACTGAAACATTATTCAATCAGCGTTAAGTTTACTTTATTTGATAGAAATGGATTAACTTTTGGAAACAGCATACTGGAATTACTACAAAATAAACGTAACTGTCTAGACAACACATCCTTCACAGAACACTATGTTTTATAACTCTTACTAGCCTCCATCTATAAACAGTAGAACATGAACGTAAGTAGGTTAGAACAACTCTTTGCAGAACTTGCTGTTGCTGTCATCACACAACAAAATTCCACTACTGGTTTTAGAGCACAGTACAGATGTTTGTACATAGGTATAAGTGCGTGTGCATGAGAACATTATAATAATGTCACTGGTTATATAATTGGTGCCCACCTACAAGACCTCATTGTGTAACAATCACAACACTGTGAACCATTAAAAATGTCAGATCTTATGTGTGCGGTTGATGAGTTTCAAGCACAGATGTAAAGAGGTTGTGACAGTACACATTCCTAATCTCTGCACTACAGGAATGTTAAACCCTTTTATTTCTTGGAAAGAATCGCCAATCCATTAAATGAGGGTCTGGTTGATTATTCAATAATGCTTTTTTAACTGCATGAGGTATACAGTGTTGCATAAATAGTCTTTAACGGATTCCGACGATGGTGTATGCTGTACAGAATTGTACAGTGTTGCATGTTAGGATAACAGTAAATGAGGAATTGAGAGGATATGGAAGAAAGGGGCTATGACCTCTTTTTATAGTACTTGCCTACAGTAAGCCTAGAGGAAAAGCGGCCTCCGTAGTCTAGAGGTAACATTCCCACCTCATGACTCGTAGTACGCGGGTTCAAATACCCGGCGGAGGTCGTCGAATTTTTAAGGGCGGAAAAATTCGGGGAACAAGTCCTCCGGGAGGGACTTT